TGAGGCGACTGTTGTTGTGATTTGGCGCTTTATAAATAAAATTGAATTGAGTGGTAGATACAAAGACCTATACTGCCCTATATTGTACCTTTTTTCTTTTTATAATTGCATGGAATGAGTTTTGTCTTCTTTTTTTGCTGATCCGAAAATTTATCCGATCCAAACCGTGAGATTTTTTGATCCGTTGCACCACTAGTGATGAAACACCAGTTTTGGTTAAAAACTTCACTTTCAGGATTAAAAGATATGTGCGCTCTGACACAAAGAACATTTTTCTGTTTTCATTGGTATGACCTGACCTCCATGGCCGTGGACAGAAGCTCGAGGTCCTTCTGTGGGTAATGATCATAAGAAGCTCAGGTAATCAGGATTTACCTCTGCACACAGATCACACTACAGCTTCTGCTTTTGCTTCATCAGCTTTATTTAGCTCAAGAATACATACAGGATAAAGAGTAAAAAGAAAAGAAAACAGTATGCAACCCCTCTCCCTCTGTGTAAATCATCAGGGGGACATAATGAACAAATCCTGCGTGACGGTAACAGGCCAAACAATGTTTTTCAGTGGGTGAGAAAAAGGCACAGACAGCTCTAGAAGAGGTAACACGTTTGAGATAAAATGGCAGTTTCACAGGGGGCACACAGACAGTTCGTAGTTTGCAGATAACGTGTGGAAAAGTAAAAATGATTGTGGCCAAATGAAAACAATCCTCAACATCAAAATCACAATATTTCATCAAACACTGCAACTGAAGGATGCAAGCCTACTTTCAACTCATTTAATTTGAGGTAAAATTTGTTAGAAGTCATAAAATTTGATCTTAAGGACAAAAAAAACCAAACTAAAACTAAATTCTAGTGTTTCATCACATTTCTACCAGCATATAAACAAGCTTACTCTACTGATGCTTTAACTAACAATAATGGAAAGATAAATCGATTATAGAAATATATACGTTTATATATATTCAAAACCACGATAAAAGGAAAAAGCAATACCCATTAAATTTGCTTTTTTTTTTTTTTTTTTGGCCGTTTGACCACACCCTCAGCAGGTTATCCACGGCTATGCGTCTGAAAGCCAATTGATCACCTCACATTAGCTTATAGAGTGTAAGAGAAGATGAAGCGCACAGATCGGGCACCTCGGGATTAAAGATTAGACATCAAGAACAATCTGCGACGAAGGGCGACTCAGGATCTGAAGAGAACGCTGAAGTAAAACTATCAGAACTTTCTAGTAATTGCATCATTTAATAGAAAGAGAAAATGTTTACAAGTGTATAAAAAACACAAAAATATGCCACTGAAATGACATGCCACTGATTTCGCAAGTTTTCTTTTTGTTTATTTCTGAGTAAAGTGGAAGAGCGAGTGATTTACTTTTTGTTAGTTGAGACACTGACTGAAGAAGGACGACGGTGATTTTTGCTGACATGGTTGTTCTGTACACAAATTGGATCAAACTGTGAGAAATTTAGCTGCAGAGAAACACGTCTCTTTTTGTCTCACCGTTAAACCCATTCGGGATGATTAATCTTTCACATCGTTCGCATGAGGAAAATTAGCACCACCTGCCGTTTCCGTCAGAACGGACAGACCTCAGTGATGACTTCTCAGATTAAATCCCTGACGAAAAGTAAGTGATGATGGAGGAAAGCGAGCGCATGAGCTGCGCCGGGTTGCGGGAAGCCAATTTGGAGCATCTTCGCTTTGACTTTTCCCGGCTCCAGAGCGGGTCGCCGGCTTGTTTCACAGTGAGAGACGGACGGGAAAAGCCAACATCAAGAGACCGTTTGGCTTCGGCTACAATCAACGATCCGATGACGAAGTGATGCAGCGTGTGTGAGTCTCGAATCTTTTGCGTGCATGTCTGTAGGTGTGCGCTCAGGATGCAGTGTTTGCAGGCAGATCCAAAGTCGACTTGCTCGTTTTAAGCGGTGAAGTCGGGCCAACTCGTGACTGGCAGGAATTCCTTTAGGTCATAGGTGAGAGAGGTGGCGAGAGGAGAGTCGGGCGGGATACAAATATGTCCTTCATCAGAGCTGCGAGACACAAAGAGAGAGACACTGTTAGGTCAGAGGACACTTCACAGCTGAAACTCTTAAGCTTAAGAATCTCTTGTGTGTCTCAGACCTACACAGGCAGTGATTTCTGGCATGTTTTTAACAGCAGGAGGTAAAAAACACCCCACAGAGTCACAAAAGGTCCCTGCAGGAGTTTGAACTAAGCACTCTTTCGCTGTGAGCTAACCACTGATAAATAAGATCTAACCTGAAAGGAGCCAGAATAGAGCGAAAACTGCCATCTGTGATGTACAGTTTATGCTCCAGACCCATCACGTTTAATATCCGAGTGAAAAAGATCACTCCCTTTACAATACAGCATTATCATAACAGGAAATCTGTAAGTAGCCTATGCACCAACATGATCAGTTATTGAACTGTGTGGAATATTTTGCCTAATTCCCAAACATTATCTCAGTATGACCACTAGATGGCGCCAAATCACCTGAATTTGGGATGGAAGTCACTCAGTGCCCGTTATCCTCTGACGTTAATTTGAAGCAAGTCTGATAATGTGAGCTGAGGTTAGAGATCTTACCTGCAGTGTCACACAGTCCTTGCATGCCTCCTAAGACCGGATCTCTGTCTGTGAGCAGATGGCTGCGACTCTCCGGTCCCGGGTCCATGATCAGATCTGGTTGGTCGGTTTCGTCCAGACTGTCCTGAAATTGGAGGTTAACGTGTAGTTAGGTGAAAAAGTTTGTTCTGAAAACATAATTAACATTACATAGCATCTATTAGTAGAAACCAACTAAATACTGATTTTTCAGATTTTCTAATTTGTTGTTTTTTTATTAAAGGTAAAAACTGAACACTGCAACCTCCAATCAAGGCAGTGAAAAGTCATCAAGACAGAAAACATTTTAAACATTAAACGTCTTAAAATCATCCCTCTCGGCTCTTCCTCCTCTTCCACTCACCAGTAGTTTGTGGGTGAGAAGAAGCTCCTCCTCCATGGAAGGATCCTTTTTCTGTCTCTTGTCCTGGAGCATCACTGGTGACAGCATCTCTTCAGCAGAGTCATGAGTCCTGAACGAGAGACAGACGGATTGTAAAACACGTAAATCTTTGTTTTAATGTTCAGATATAAATTTTTAGCTGTGTCTTCACCTACAATAAGAAGCTGGAACTCTACAATGTCCTGAATGGGCCACTGTACAGAGGACAAGAACACAGCCTTCTTACTGGCGCCTCCCTCAGGACAAATTTCCCATCTTGGCATAGGGCCGTTGTGCTCAGTTACAATAATGCAAGGTGAAACGTGGCTTCCTGTTTGCTCCAAGCACACCTTTGCACCAATAGTTTTATAGATAACGCTGGTCTAGCTTACCGTTTCCTGCTTGTTGCTGAAGTTTCGGAAGGTTTCTCAGCTTCCTCGGTCATACTGCTGAGGAAGGTCAGCTGGAAGTCATCGTCCATGGAGATGTACGGAGCCAACATGTCCAGGTCCATCCCCTCCATCTCCTGAGAAAATGCAGGTAGGACTGAATATTTTGCAGAAAGCGGTTGACTGAACAGTTATCAGGATGTCTTTTGTTGACGCCTCATCGCTTCGTGCTCTTACCACCGGGGTATCTTTCTTCTGGGCATCTTCTGGCCAAAAGGCGAAGAACTTTTCCACCTCGCTGGTGTCCATCACCTCCTCTTCACTGCGGCTCTGAGACACAAACATCGATTAAGGGTTAAAGGGAGGCGCAGACACTTCGACTGATGCACAAAGACTTAAGGCTGACATTTACCTGCTCGGGTTTAGGTGAGGAGCTTGGCGATGGTGAAGAAGAGGATGAGGATGCAGATGGAGGAGGAGTGATGGGGTCAAAGATGGGTGCGAGGAGTTTTCTCAGCTGCGGGGTGCACAGATCCTGAGGGTGCTCGGGCACCAAGTTTGGACTGGGTGGACTGGCAAATGAGAGCTCGACAGAACCTGAAAGAGGGGGGGAAAGATCTACTCTGAATAACTACCCACGACATTTCCCCAACTGTAACATGAACGAGGCTTTTAGGTTTATATATTTAAAAAAAAAAAGAAAAAAAAGGGGGGGGGGTCCTCTGTTGGCCTCACCTGGACTCAGAGGTACGATGGTGTCTCCGGCATCAGGAGCCAACTGCAGCAGCTCCTCCGGCTTCTCCCGCAGCTCCATGAAGAGCTTCGCGCTGCTGCTGGAATCTGAATCCACATCTTCAGCCTCAGTGGAAACAGTGCTGTCAGTTTTAGACTCACACATGTCGGCAGTCCCGGAGTCTTCATCTGCCGGTTCAACTTTAGGGATGCTACTACAGCGGGTCTGCTCCACGGAGAAAATCACGTCTGGCTGCTCCACAGAGCTAAAGACGAAGAACACGATGACGTTAAAATCGGGAACAGTAAATGGGCGCACCATCCTCGCTCATGTTGCAGTTTGTGAGACAACTTTGCTGCTTTTTAAAGTACCTGAGGATGAAGTTGAGGCAGACGATGGCATCCGGCTGGGACGTTTTACTGTTGTACAACACCGTGGCCTGAGTCTCCGCCCACACGTAGCCACCGTTGTTTGCCAGGAAACGGTACTGGCTGGTGCTAACCTGACCTTTGGAGAGCACTGCGCAGTGTGGACAGAAGAGAAAGAGGAGGATGATGATGATGAAGTGCCAGAGCACGTTTTCACTTCATTAAAACACAAATTCTGGGAGCTCCTCGTTGAAACACAGCTTTTAATAACAGCTGAAATGTAGTAAAACCTGTGCCTCAAATACAAGCGATGGACTGATGACACATCGAAGAAACACCCTTAAACTAGTTTTATGAGCTCAGGTGGATCAAAGCCAACTTTTCTTCTCAAGCAGGCACTTTGTTGAGGGTGAAATACGTTTAATGGAACTTAATTCAGACATTGGTTCCTTAGTATATTAGTAGTAATCAGAAATGAGGAGCATTCTTTAAAAAATATATATATATTTAGGCATAAATATGTTCAAAATTAGAAGGAAAAACCAGTTTTGGACATTCATGTTGGACACCCCTCTCTTTCTCTGCCTTCATCATCTAGACGCCAAATGAGAAAATTTCTTTTGTCCCCGTGTGCTCTCTCAAATTTTCAGACTTTGTTTTAAAGGCCAAGATGCACTGAAGGTGTTCTGATGACAGCCGAGGGCCAAATACCCTGCTGAGAGTTTTATGCTGGATTTTTCTTTAATTCGTCACCCGTCTGTATATGAAAGCAGTTTAGACCCAGGTAAGCGGTGAAAATGATTGAAAACATTACACTGTTGTAACACGCAGACACACACTGACACTCACATGTGTGCAGGCTCTTGTTGATGTGATCTGAGTCGAGCGCGTGAAGAAACTCGAAGCCTGAGCGTCCAATCAAATCATCAGGTTTGTATCCCACCAGCTCTGCAACCCTGGAAACAGCGTGAGAAAAGAGAACCAGGAGTTCAGAGGTTTCTTTTCCCCTTTCGCGCTACAGTGGAATGGTATTCCTCCTGCTTCCCATCCACGGGGGGGAAGGTCAAAGGTCGAGATCGGTTACATTTTTCCGTCTCACCTGCCCTCGCAGTGGGTGAAGCGCAGGTCCATGCTGTGACGGGTGAGGAAGGTGCAAGTATCCAGAGGGAACTCCACGCTGGATGGGTGTGGGATGGGCTCACACAGCAGGGTCATGACTCTGCCTGCAGGGGGCGACGCAGAGCCGCTGCCAAAGGGACGAATGTGGCCTGTGCAGTGGAGGACCTGGAGAAAGAGGGCGAGGAATTTAAAGCAGAGTTCATCAACCAAGCACGCTTCAAACAACCGAAATAAACTTTTTTTTTTGCTCAATTTCATGCTGCTTAG